CATGTATTTATATCATAACCATACAAGATACTAATTTACTTAAATACCCCGTACCGTACCGCGGGGGCTCTGCCCCCGCACCCCCGCCCCAACTAATCGACCCACCAACAAAGCCGAATTATAGAAAAATACATAAAAATTATATTTTCGAGCCTTAACGAGTTGTATCAAGCAGATCCGAACTCGGCTCTTTAACTGAACGAGTTTTAAGTGAGCTCGAGCTCAACTCCTTTCTCAAACGAGCAGAGTCGAGCCCAGCCGAACTCACGAGTGGCTCGTTTAATTTAACAGCTCTCTACAACCAAAGATAATGTCACTGAATTAGCACAAGTCAAATTAAAAACGTATATACACATATGCATAGGATAGTACAAGAACAAAAAATTGTGACATAAATAAGAATAAAATACAACAAATAGATTTGACAAACCAACCTTAAAATATAGTCACCATATATCAATTAATCATTGTAAAATGTACCTATTATATTCAAGTACTGATCATTACATACATATTTTAAACAACTCAATAATCATTATGATGTTCAAAATTCAGACATCTGATTAATGTATTCTTCCAATTGATAGTCAAGGAGTTCAAATTGGCCTAGCTATCTTGCATATTATTTATAACAAAATCAATTATTAAATTGAAAAAACAAAAGCACTGAAACACCATTCATGTTGGTTTTGCTGTAGGAAGGGCTATCGTTTTAATTTGTTTCTATTTTCTTTTGTTTGTTTTGTGTTCAGTTTTGTGTTGTTTAGGTTCCGCTTGTGCTGTTTGTGTATGTGTCTTGTTGGTTTTTGTGTTTTTGGTTTGGGCTGTTTAGCTTCAGTTCTCATTACTCTGCTGGGGGTCTTTTCATTACTCTGTTGCGAGTCGTTTCATTACTCTGTTGGGAGTTGTTTGGTGTTGGGGTCTTTGTTTTGTTTTAAGTTAGTTTAGTGGTGCTTTAGGTCTCATAGCTTGGTCTATGCCTACAGTGCTTTTGGTGTTTGGTCTAGGCTACCGTTTCGGAGTGGTTCTCCATGTGTTTTTGTAAGGATTAGTGAGTTCTCCTATTGTTTCTTTTTTGTGTTATAAAATTTATATCGTTTGAAAAAAAAAAAAAAAAAAAAAAAAAAAAAAAAAAAAAAAACCATTCATGTGTCCAATACTATAGAGGAAGAAGAAGTGGTTGGCAGGTTGCCAAAGAAAGTGACAAGAGAATAGCAAAACAAATACGCAAATGTCACAAATATCAGTCCCACTACCCAATACATAAAGAAAGTAGCACTATGTTTATTTAAAAATAAAAATAAAATTAGAGCAATATATATCTCAAAAGCATTGTTCCTTCTCAGGTGCTTTTGCTTTATTTGTGGAAATGCAAAATAGTTTAAATGCATGTATTATAATCATGTAGGAATTAATTTATCAACATTTAAAGATCTTATCCTACTTAATTTTTTTGAAAAATAAATAAATAATTATAAAAGAAAGGGAATTTTCCTCATATCCCTCTTGATATTAATTCAAAACGTGTTAAAGTCTAAATGGCAGGCTCGCATGTTTCGAGATCCTATGTGGTGAAATACATGCTTCATTATTTGGCTTGGTTAGATTTTAATTTACTTCCAAACCTAAGTTCGGACTATTCATAATAGGTTGATTATCTATGGTCATGTTACATCTATTAATTGAATTTTAATATTATTTCTTGTAATGACAATTAAGTTGTAAATTTATTTTAGAAGTTAATAACTTTTGTATTTTTTATCAATTTTCCATATATAATATATCAAATTAATCATCTCTTGATGAGTTTCGATTTAACATCCATATTATATGTATAGAGAAATAAATTATATTTATCTTTATAACAAGAATGGAATTATTTATCAATTAATATATATATGTTTCAAGCACACGTGTAACACACGGGTGTTGTACTAGTATATCAATACATCTGAAAAGTTAGTGGGTGTGCTAATGTAACTACTCTTAATAAAGATGAAAGTGTATGTGGTTGACATTAGTCAAGAAGTTTTTCATTAAGATGTTCCATATGTACCTTCTAATTTGAAAATATTTGGATAATCTAAGGTATAAGGTATAAATAATGATGACATATATGTATAGTAATGACATTTGAGCAATTTATATATTTATTAGTAAAAAAAAATAATAAGTGGACAAAATACAGAAAAAAAGAGGGAGAGTGGACAAACATAAAAAACATGTATTCCTTGAATACGTTTTCTGTATAATTTAATTGAAAAACGTATTCACTTTCACATTTTTTTTACAAAAGAAAACGTATTCACAAAATACGTTTTCCAAATAATTTTTTCAAAAGCCGTAAGGAATACGGGCTTTTGATTCTTTTCCACTTCTTTTTTCTTTTTTTTTTTGTCCACTACTTTTATTTTCTTTTTTTCCGTAAAAAATTCAATGACATTTAGGCAAGTAAAATTGAAAAAAAAAAAAAAGAAATAAAGATGATTGTAAAAATTGAATCTTTAAAAAAAAAAAATTAATAAAAAATAAAAAAATCACTTTGTAGTTATGTGGACTTGGTAAATTTTCAACCTAAATTCACCTTTGAATAAAGTTAGAAAGCCTATTATAATGCCTTTACATGCTATTAAGAAACTATACTAAATTCTTCTTGCCCCATATTAGTAGTCAAAAAGATACCTTCCACGTATATATCCTCTTTTTACATACCTTAGCAAATAAGGAATTGATAATAAATAAAGCATTAGGCCTATTTTTGCCCATACTCGCACTTGTTCGTGCAATTTAAGCTTTTTAATGTTAATGGAAGGGTTTAGCGCAGTGACGCATACCTCGCTCGGCGTATTACATATCTCGAGTTCGAGTCACTGGGAAAAGAATTAAGGAACCAGTATTAATCCTCCTTTTAAAAGAAAAGAAAAAAAATGTTAATGGGAAAAAAATAAAGCTTTTAGCAGTCAGAAAATTATTTGCAATTTATTCACAATAAATGATGTTGTTAAGCTATTAATAATTAATATGTTAGGCAAATATATTTTTTCTTTTAATAAATGTAGATAGAGACGTACATAATACTCACATGGAGTGGAGACCACTTGATTTTTTATTTTTGGTGGGTTATGTACAATATTATGTATCTATAGCATTACTCAATGTGACTGTTATTTTTGGCCGATTTATGCAAATCGGAAGTGGCGGGACACCGCCTAGCGCCTAGGCGCCGTCTAGGAGACCGTCTAGGCCGAATTTTAAAACAGTGATAACTTCTTTCACCATAATTGCTTTATTAATAATTACTTCACTAAAAAATGCTTAATTTTATGATAATCACTTCTCATTTTAAATTTTTTAATAACCCATCAGAAAAGAAGAAAAATAGACTCTCTGGGTCCCTTACCTGTGTGGCTATCCTGCAAGTGCAATTGGATCTCCAGTAATAAAAATGTATAAATAGTAGCATGCACTTACATTTGATTTGATTATTTTAGATAAAAAAAAACAACAACATACATTTTGTACCACTGATTTAAAGTATTTAATTTATTTATTATTGATAATTTAAATGCTATAACATGTTATATCTACAAATTATTCACCGTAAGGCTGTGACTGTAAGTGACATTTAGAAAATTAGCTTAAAAAATTACGAAATTTCTTAGCTTCATGACTATATATTTTCTTTAAGGCCATGTTTGAAAAGCAAGACTAGATAGGATAAAGCTCCCAGTCGAGGCATTTTCGGACGTTTGTTTTCCAAGTTTGCGGCCCGCACGATTAGACAGGGCCCGAGATTAAAATTTACTAATCTTGCATATGGGCTATTAATTAATCTCCTCTCGCCCATGTGATATTTTTCATCTGAACAGTACGCGTACAATTAAAAGCCATTTTTGCCCCTGATTTTTGTCATTTTGGACAAAAATATCCTCACCATATCAAATAATTACAGCCTGCCATGTATAAGACCCATCGTCTCTTTCGCCCCAACACAATGGAGTAGATCTTGAGTTTAAGTGCCGAAGATAATGACGATTCCATCTGCGAGTTCACGGTACGTGTGTTTCTACAATACAATTTGCAACACGAAGACTGGTAGCTTAGTTTAATGGCTAATCGTTTCCTCTGTTATTGATAATAGGTTGTTTCGTAAAACCCTAATTTTTCAATTTGTTGGGGTGCAGGTAGTTAAGCGTGTTTGGTCTGTTGCTTTCTGGGTCAGGGTGAAAGTGATTCCTTGTATCGTCTTCGGTGAGTTTGCATCGTCTAATGGTAGAAAAAACGAATACTTCAACCTAGAAATATTTTTACCCGATCTGTTTTTTTTTTTTTCAATTAACCGTTGTACGTTTAATTGGCATACGATTTCGGTGAGTTTGCAACTTAAAGTTAGTTCTTTATAGGTCACTGGTATTTTTAGGATGTTGTGTTGTGTTGTGATGTGTTTGAAGATAAGATGTTATGTTGTGGTAAGATAATTCTTTCAATCATATGTTTTTTTGTGTTGGTATATTTAGAAAAACATAAGAATTGTATTGCAACTGCATTTTAAAGGATCCCTTTGAATTTACAACAGTTACATTGTATAACAATTGTTTGTAATTTCCTTCATCGTTGACGTGGATAAATACAAATTGTTGTGATCATCAGCTTTAATCATGGACATAGATTCCGAAGATGCGGTAGTACTTTTGCTCGTGGAGGAGATACTTAATCTACGTAATTTGATTTTTATCTTTGCGTACCTCTACATTAAATTGGTTGTTCAACCTAGAAAAAATCGTAGAGTCAGACGTCGCCTCACAAATGCATCCTATCGTATGTCAGACCGTCTTCCCTTTCAAATTGAACACATGAAAGTGTTAGTAGAAATAAGTGACAGAACATGCATTGAACAACTTCGCATGGATCGAAATACTTTCGCTCGGTTATGCTACTTGTTGGAACATGTTGGTGGGATTAAGAACTCCAGAAATATACACATAACTGAGCAAGTAGCAATGTTTCTCAGTGTGCTAGCTCATCATAAAAAAAATCGTGTTGTGAAATTTGATTTCAAACGATCCGGTCAAACAATAAGCAAATTCTTCCATAATGTACTACGTGCCGTTCTGCGTTTGCATCCCCTCCTCTGTGCCCAAAGCAATGCAGTAACTGATTCATGCACCGACTGGAGATGGAGATGGTTTAAGGTGAGGACAACGAATCGAACAAAATAAGCACAAGTATTTTTTATTGTATTAACATAACTGCATGTGAATTAATCACAGGGGTGCTTAGGGGCCTTGGATGGAACCTACATTCCTGTTGGTGTTCCTGCACGTCTACATCCACGATATCGCAATAGAAAAAGTCGTGTTTCTGTTAATGTCCTTGGGGTTTGCACGCAAGAAATGAATTTTTCCTATGTTCTGACCGGTTGGGAAGGATCTGCGGCAGACAGTAGGGTTTTACGAGACGCCGTTCATCGCCCAGGGGGGCTTCGTGTACCAACAGGTTTGTGTTACAATGTATACATATAAAAATGTATAAATTGTTTGTTAGTTATCCTTCTTAAGTTTTTTATTTTTTCCATTTATGAATAAATCTTTCATATTTTGGGGATTGTCTAATATATTTTCCATATGCAGGGAACTATTACCTATGTGATGGAGGATACACAAATGGCCCCGGTTTCCTGGCACCGTATAGAGGTGTCCGGTATCATTTAGATGAGTTCGGTGAAGGTAACAGATTGCCTAGAAACCATAGAGAGTTGTTTAACCTACGACATGCCCGAGCGCGGAATGTAATTGAGCGAGCTTTTGGAGTATTAAAGATGCGATGGGCTGTCCTTAGGAGCAAAACTTATTTTGACATACGCACTCAAAATAAAATTATACTTGCGTGTTGCCTTCTTCAGAATTTTATCCGTATGACCATGCATGTGGACCCAATGGAAAATGAAGCGGCCAATATGATGAATCATCCGACAAATCCCGAGGCAGAAAACCCCTTTGATTATGTTGACGTTGTTGAGCCAAGCACCGAATGGACAGAAATGCGCGAAGATTTAGCTATGTCAATGTTTAATGAATGGGACGGTCGTAGTTGAACACTTCAGCTTACAATGATGGGGATTTAATACAATTTCTGTACCACAAAACATATATACATGATCTCTCCATGTTTGGTATTTGTTTGTGGGAAAAATTTTATGTGAACGATGGTTTGAATTGCTTGAGTTCTATTAATTCCAGTTTTTCACTATGTTTGTGTCGTGAAAATAAAGCATATTAATCTTTCATTTTTATTATCCTATTATTTCGGGTTATTTGACCTTGTTTTGGGAAAACATCTTACTCTATCACCTTACCAATCTTTGTTTATGTCTTTGGTCATTAGTTACGTATGGAATCTACTGGCAGTGGGGGGCGCAATTCGCAGCCCAGTGCACAACGCCGAGTTTGGAATGCAGCTGAAGAAAGAGCATTGATTGATGGTTTGCGGGATCTTGTCACGCGCGGCTGGAGATGCGACAACGGATTTCGCAATGGGTACACCGGCATATTGGAACAACATATTCGACAAATATTTCCGGGTACTACCATAAAAGCCGAACCTCACATATCATCAAAGATTACGGTTTGGAAGAAAAATTATGGTTTAGTTGCAGACATGCTTGGTACTTCGGGGTTTGAATGGAATGACACTGGGAAAATGATTACTGTGAAGGAGGAGGCGGTGTGGCAAGCCTATAGCACGGTATAAAATTAATTTACACATTTCATGACATATGAAAAGAATACAATTTGAAATAAGCAATCATTAGTTTTCTTTTCATTATTTAGGCTCACCCGAAGGTGAAATCCTTGCGTTATAAAAGTTGGCCATATTATGCGGATTGGGTTGAAATTTTCGGGAAGGACCGGGCAACAGGAGAAGGGGCACTAGGTTTCACTGACGCGGTGAATGATGTCTTAAATGATACTAACGTCGAAGTACCGAGCCCTATTCCCACTGAGGACGCAGTCCCGGTTCAATCTGATTACCCTCATACTAACTTCGACTCGTTTTCGGCTCAAGCAGGTGAGAGTAGTGCATCCGGTAAGTCTAAGCGTGATGGAAAAAGAAAACGTAACACTGAGGCCGAGGATACAATATTAGGACTACTTTCATCTGTTTGCCAAGAGACAAACAATCGTCTCTCAGAGTTGTCTACACGTCTTGGTTACCAAGTTGATGCCAAAGAGCAGCGCATCGCCGTGTATGATGCACTAAAAAACATTCCAGACCTAACCACGGATGAAAGGGTAGGGGTGGCGCGGTACTTAAGCAAAAATATTGACGAGATGGAACTTTTTTTCAGCCTGGACGATGATGCAAAAAGGTCGATGGTGCAGCAAATATTGAGCGGGTCTAAGTTTTCAGGGTAAATCGTCATGTCCATTTGTTATTTTGTATGTTGTGAAGTACCTGCCTTTGTCCTTTTTGCACTGTGAACTTTGTTATTTTGCATTGTGAACTTTCAAGTTTGTCTTTAGTAATATGTTATGTATGCGGACGACATTAAGGTGGGATGACATTGTAATTCTGGTCTGATGCGTGGAATTAGTTATTATGTTCATGTTAATTTCTTTTTTGGGTTACTACAGCACTTCCGTATACCATTGTCTCGTATTATTCATGTTTGTACGTTGCATATTATCTGAATTTTGTGCAACGGAATACTCGACATATATAAATGTTTGCACAGTACAGTTTCCCCTTCAAACAACGAACAGGTTTGGCTTCCTATCTGTATTTACTTAAGAATGCTTTCATTGGATTCCGTTTTTACGTTCACGGTCAGACACCTTATTTCACATATACAACTTTCGTACCTCTTCAATGTTTTTCCCTCAAATATCACAATAACCGAGCCCATAAGTTGGATGTTAAGTTCACCCTCATAGTCAAGTTCGAACAATAAAAATAGCCCTCCATTTCTTAATGAGGAAATAAACATTGAGGTCTTGTACATAGACGCATTGTTTTTATTTCATGACAATAATAAGAAGTACTACAATTTGAAGTACCAATATGACAATTAATACATTAAAAAAGACTTCCAATTTAGTCTTTAATTTCACATCTTTGTAGGTTTCACGATGAACTGCAACTTTGTCGGTCGTGTTAACTTCTTGTCTTATGCAGACCTCGTCTTCATTTATCGGATTAGCCCAACCACTAAACCCATCTTTTTCACAGACGTAATAGAGTTTCTGAAAATTCGGACTTCGGGGACCAGCTATTCTAATTGCAAGTCTGAGTCCACAATGTTCACATATTTTGTCTTCATACTTCAGTCTAGTTGGTCTCCCAAATTTTGCACTGCTTGAAGTCTGAGACATCTTCAAAGCTTAAAGAGAAGATAAACAGTTATTCGGTTTTAGAAAGTTAGTATAAATAGTATGCAGAGACATACTTCAGAATATAACTTAAGTAAATGTTGGATATACACACCATTTTCGAATGAATGATATATTCAGTTGGACGAAGAAAAAAGAGGAACCCATCAGTTGGAGATAAACACCATTTTCAAAATATAACTTAAGTAAATGTTGGAATGCCACAGTTATGATAAATACACTATCCATCAATCATACAATTGTGATGCTTCAATTTTCAGAGAACATAATACAAAGAAGCGCAAGTGAAAGCCTCCAACTGCAGAATAGGCATAAGCTTCATTGAAAAACAAATATGGCTCATGTAAATGTGAGACTATAAACATTTTTTTTATTAGGTAAAGTCCTTTTTCATTTCAACCTTTCACATACATTGATTCCCAAAATCAGAGTCCCAAAATTAAAAGCCCTAAATCCCAAACATCTGCCCTTTACCTTCGAATCGTGTTTCACTGATTCCGTTTTTTATCTACACAATATTACATTCACGTAACCCTAATTCCATAAAAACGTAAATCCGTAAACAAATTTCCATTTTCAGATCACCGTTTTGCAGAAAACAGAAACAAACACTTGTTTATTTGAAAATACAAGTTAAGAACAATTTTATGTGTAAATTTCAAAGAAATTACATTCCCACCGTCCGAAAATAAGCACCTCTGAAATCGGCCGATGAAATGCCTTCCACGATCTGTCGTCGCTTGCTTCCACAAATCCTTCGTGGGTTGCTGGGTTCGACTCGCTCTCTACCGAAACGGTCTTCAGATCTGTAATAAAAAAGAGAACAGGTACTTAAACGGGCAAATTTTAATACACGCTAGGTGACAAATTTTTGGAAGAGATAAAGTTGAAATGGCAATTAACACGTCAGCGTGAATTTGTGATTCGTCCATTGTAAGATATAGCCCCAACATCACATGACTATCGTTGACTACTGGCTACTGCCTTAATTTTTGTGGTTTGCCATATTTTGCATGGAAGTGTGAGGCATTGAAGGTTAAAAATCACACTTTACTACACAAATGGATCATTAGTTGTTATTTGCGTAAATATTATTCAAATGCATTGCACATGTACTAGTGCAAAAGAGATGGTATTTCTGAAATTAGCATATGACACAAATTAGTTATTTTGGGATGTTGGTAATTATTTTATATCTCAATGTTACAGTAGTGTACACAAGGGCGTAATTTATTGAAACCGTATAACATTTTGAAGAAATAAGTTATCATGTTTGGATCCGGTCATTAAATAAATCGAGTGTAATCAATTCACCTCTTATCGTTTGAATTGAATTTTCATTTATATGTTTTATTATACGAATTAGTGAAGGAGTGACTTTTTACGAGGCGAACAAAGTTCTAGTCATAAGAAATTGATTGTTGTAGGTAGGGTAGAAAATATTCTGGAGACGCAAAATTTAAAATAATTTATTACGAAAAAATTTATTGTTATATAATTTAGGATTAATATGCTACTTGTGCGATTTGCATGTGTTATATTCATAGGTTTTGTAACTTAATTTACATGAATTCAATAAACATCTTTACATGTTCCGTTGAAACATGATTTTTTTTTTTTTTTTTTTGTAAACCTACTAACAAATATATTTATTTAGATTGTTACATAATTAAATATAGTTAATAGAAGAACTTGACTGTTGTAATGGAAGTTCTTACACACATTCCTAACAGAAAGTTACAGACCAGCTATAAAATGGGTTTCTCAAATTTACCAAGACAAGAACCTCATTTTTCATTATTTTTTTCTCTGTAGCACAATGAACATAACATGACTATCACCTTAACTACTCACATTTACTGATTGGCTGAGAATTGATGAGAACAAAACGTCCACACTCAAGCTAACACAGGGTTAATCATGATTTACAATTAATGACTCTTCTGATGACTTGATAGTTACCAACCCAATTAATATGGTGAAAATAGGTCATTTAATGACCCTCACCATCCGCTATACATACAAGATTTTTGCATGCCACTTTACCACCATCTTCATTTTCAGACAAACAATTTGGTTTGTATCTCCTTAGTAGCAGATTCCCTTTAATGTGATTAAATGGGTGAACTTTAAATATTAATATTTTTTTCTTTTGTTTTGGCCCATGTCTTCTCACATAACAGGTTCTTGCTTGACTCTCATGGATCGGATGACGAGCTTAGGGAACATTGCGCGCGGCTTCAGGTTGGAGGGGTGGACCGAGGAGGAAGAGAAGGTCTGTTATCGTCTCTTCTTCCAAAAGTGCGCTGAAACAGAGGACGTAGATAAGCCATCAGTCCTAAATTCCCTATGGTTCGGCATTTCCCGTCAGTTATCTGGACTTATGCAAAAGGACTTTACGTGGATGAAGGTGCGGGAGAAAATCCATTGTCTTCAGGGGCATTACCGTCAATTCCTTCGCTACATGACCACGCCGGGAGTTCGAGTGCATGACGAAGGAGGTTTGGTTAGCGTGAACAGGGAGTACTGGAACGTCGTCGGAGAGGTAATTGTATATCGGTTTATTAACAACATTTTGTAATTGCTCCGTTATAAGCTTGATTGGCAAGAAAAACATAACCGTGTCCAAAACATGCAGGAGAGCGATTTAGAGGTTTTCTTCCGTTGGAATGGCTTTAAATGGTACAACCATTGTCAACAGTTGTGGGACGTACGCGGTGCTGCTGAAGTGAATCTCCAAGCCAACCCCGGTGCGGATAACAGCTATCCAATTTGGCTAGATGATTCTATGTCTGATGTGTGGTCCGAAGATGCCATGGAGGATGAATTTGAAATTGAGCAGGATGTTGGTGGCCCAATTCATGAAAACGGACTTCCGTTAGATCAGCTCAATGATGGACAGGCCAATGATGATGTCATGGATGATGTGTCGGAAGTCGACTCATGCGTGGACTCCGTGTAGGTGACAACAACTTTTAGGGACGGTCTTACAACTCCTTTTGCTTATTTGCTCCCGACTATATGTTGTTGGTTTGTATCCTTCGTAAGTGTGTATTTTCATTGTGTCATCATTATGCTTTTATTTTATAATTAGGTTGGCTATTACATAAGTACTTTCGTTAAGTCAGTTTCCCAAACTTTTGGTGTGTTTGTTGGGAAGGAAGATGTATTGCATGGCATGTAATGGGGGATTACAGTGTCCCAAACTTTTGTTGGTGTGTTTGTTGGGAAGTAAGATGTAGTGCATGGCATGTACTGGGGGATTACATGAAACCAATGTATTAAAATTTTCTTTGGTCAATATTCAAGGTACTTAAAATTTACGTTTGCACTTTAACTGTACACTACAAAAAAATGAATACCTACTTTGTATAAACCATTTTTTAGAGGAATCTACCGTCGGTTTTACTTTCATAAACACGTATATGAAACAAGCCAACCTAAATCGAGGATTCATAACAAGCGGGATTTCATTACTACAAACATGAACACATTACAAAATGAGCGGATAATAGTAGGGCTCAAAGGCCACAAAGTAAGGAAACATATAAGTAGTACGACAATGAAGGAAATTCACAACATTTCAGTTTGGTGGATCACTAGAAGACCCTTTGCATGATGATGGCGCGGGCTTACGTGGTGGCCGGGGAATACGCAACGGTGTTCCACCGGCCCGCCTTGGAATGTTTACATGTGTGTGTGTATTCACTGAAGCTTCAGATGAAACGTCACGTTCTCGGGCATTTATTGGATGGACGACGTTGTTTCCGACTGGTCCATTCAATGACGCATTTGTTAGAGAAGAAAGCGAGAATACGTAGGATTGTTCGGTCAACCAAGCTATATCACATTCGTTGGTGGAATTTTGGTCCAACACCAATGGTGCATCTGATGTGGGTTCATACACCTCTGTGAAGAAATATCGTATATCCGCCCACCGCGGATCCCCAGAATGTTGGTATGCGACTGAAAACGGGTCGGACTACATACAAAAAAGTTAAAGAATCAAACAATAAAAAGTTATGATTCCATCAAAATAATCAACTTCATTCAGTAAAACCCAAATGAACAACAGACGGCCCTCACAATTTGGTTTCAACACAGAGCAACGAAAACACACATACATCGGTGTGTATTTTTTATTAAATTTTCGAAACCCGAAGACGTAGGATAAGGTCGCTGGTACTAGTAATGATAAGTATATACCTCGAAGATGTCATTCCACACTGCTACCGGTGCCGTCAACACGTTAGACTGCACACAATGGCGCAACCCGTGTTTTCGTAGCATCCAAGAAAAAACACGGAACCGCTTGTGAAGGAAATCAAACCGTTCCTGAAGTTCATTGACACTAAAGGTTGCACCGAAATTTGTCACCAAAACACTGCGGCAGTAGTGGAACACATGAGTGTCTGGTCTGCCCTGCCTCCATTCTCCAGCAACATGTGCCTCGGCCAGAAGGTCTATGAACAAGTTGTCCACATCTTTGGTCCAACGAGCATCGTAAAGAAGGTCGTCTTGTGTGCCTTCCCTTCCCAAACGAGGCATTACAGTGCTTTTGAAGGAAAGAAATGTGTTAACTAAGTACAATATACAAAACTTGTATGTAAATGTTATTGGTAACTGACTGTATCTTTATATAAGAGATGAAAGGACCCTAAAAGGAGGCAAGTTGATACAAGATAACAAGAATAATCACAATACTCAAGGTATGAGTTGTAAATGACTGATAAAGCTGAACTAAGAATATAATACACTATCAATACTGCCATTTTTTGCTTGTCTAATCTCCATCCCCAAATTGCATTAGACTGCTATAATCGAATCTTGTAGGAAATTGACAGGAACCCAGCAGTGATAGAACTTAATAACAGAGAATATAATGATACATTTTTTGAATACAAACACATGGGTCTGAATAAAAAGACTCTTGATTAGACACAACGGCATACCATACTTTGGTTCTTGCTTTTCATTCCTTTGGGCATATGCACCACCATTGCCTACTGATATAAACATAATGAAAAAAAAATTCGAAACTATGGAGTGATATTGCAAATTTGTAATTCAAAACTGTGTATGACTCCTCAATAAAATACATAAATATTGCTCAAATTGTTAGACTTCAACGTCGGTGCGAAGGATACAACAGTACAAACGAAATCTGACTTCGGTAACCCTAGTTATTGGAAACAAAAATTCAGTTGTAAACTAAGGTCGAGCCGGAGAACGGAAGAATTACTCACCTGAGAGCGACATCGCATTTGCCAAACCGTTCATCGATTTGCACCAACGGGAGATGTTAGGTTAAAATTTGGGGAAAATACAGACAATCTTCATGTATACAAGTGTTGGGGATTTTCTACGAAATTAAGGGCAAATCAGTAAATTTGTGTTTTATCCTACCTATTGTCACCTCCCACAAACACCACATCCAACTGTTCAATTGTTTTCAATCTGCTACCAATCATGGGTGCCAAACGTAATATTGATTGGATCTTAACAGTGTAATGTTCCTATTCATCATTAATATAATCTAATCCCATCTTCCTTTTCAAACATAGCCTAATAAGATTACTTTAATTTATACAGACCTAACAGTAGACTATCACCTTTTTACAACGGATATGCATAATTTCAAATTAAAACGTCGTGACTTTAAAAAATTAATATAAATACAAGTATAACATTCTATTGTGTAAGTATGTACATTTGTTAAAATATTATGAGAGTTGATTCAACTAACGATTAGACATCTCATACAAATAGTTATAATATTTTTTTTTAATTAAAATATAACGGATACACTCGCCTAAATGTTAGACTGGTATAAACATAGTATAATTTAGTGTTAGCTTAGTAAATTTCATGTGGTGAATGAAATTATTACACCATTGACTTCTGTAGAGTCTAAAGATATCACCTCTTAATTATTAATAATGGATAGTTGGGATAACAAGTTTATCCATATATTATTTTGCAAAAAAAACTTTGTATTGTTCTTGATTTGACTTTTATGTTAAAAAAAAAAAAAAAAAAAAAATTAATATTTTTAAATTGAAAAACTAATGACCGAGTACAATAGGCGATCTCAATTGCACAAATTTGAATAGAATAATAATATAGAAAAATACTACAGTCAGTTACGGAATCATGACGTTAAGATTTGTAACCATATTCAGATTAATTGATCTAACCGTTATAAACTCCGACAAAATAGTATACCGTAACATCTTCTAATAATATATATACAATATCGTCTAAAATTTTATCGTTTGACTTAATAGTTATATTCAGCTTAGACGTAACACAGACAATCTCCCGACAGCAGAGAATGGCGACTCTTTATCTGCCGCACATTCCACAGTGACTCAACGGCTCAGATCTTCTCCACGTACCCCCTGCGTACGTTAGTGTCATCCAATCAATTCGTCACAGCTCATACCTCGACTTTCCAAATTTGCCCACGCCAATCATTACGCAACAGCGCAAATACAATCCAAAGTCCACTTGGGCAACATAGTCTTTTCGCCTCCGACAAACCACTATAAAAACCCCTGGACTCCCCTTGATCACCTCCGGCTGCGAAAATAACACTTTCCTTGAATATTGAATACTAATAGCCAAAATTACCATATTGTTCCCACCGGCAATCTTCCTCCTCCAGCTAAACGGAGTTTGTACAAGGCTGATTTTCCGGCGATAAACTCGAGCGCCGTCCTGACAGAGATTAAAAGACCGCCGGAGCTGGGAAAACTCTTCGCTCGCATGATGGGATTTTGCATCTGCCCGTTGGATACGCCGGCGAGGTTGCTCTGGTGCTCGAGCTTCTTCCGCCACAAGCTAATGTTATTCTAATAAATCTATAATTACTAATTTCAAGCGAAAATTGCTCTCGATTTACATTGTTTTTTAGAGGTACTTGAAAAAAATAAAGCTCTTTAGATTGCTCTCGATTTACATCGTATATATATACACGTTACACGTACCCGCCGCGCGTGTGCGTTCTTGCGGCGGTCGATTTGAATTGATTTAGCCGCCGGCGATCTGAGTTAAAAAAAGGGGGAAAATGGAATCCGGGCGGTTTTTCTTCGACCCGTCTTACCAAAAAAACATGTTGTTCATGGGGAATGGCGACTCACGTTTTCGAGGTATCCAAAAACAACCTTATTCAATTTTATGTATAAAATTTTATGTATAAAATCTCATATCCAATGCTTAAACTCTGTTTTATGGTGTTATGAATTTATTTATTTTCAGAAGTAAATATTTTAAATTATGTATATGATGTGTATTAGGAGCAAGATCGGTGATGGACATGGAGGAAAAGAAGCGGCCTTTCTTCAGCATGGCTGAGGAGCTTTACGACGAAGAATACTTCGACGAGCAGTTGCCGGAAAAGAAACGCCGTCTCACATCTGAGCAGGTTCATTCATATGTTGTTGTTGAAGATAACAAGATAAAGATTCTTCATGTTTTTTTTTATTATTTTTTTTCTAGAAATGATGTTTGATTATAGCATAAAGCTTTAGTTGAACAGGGCTCATATGTTCTAAATTATAATACAGATCACTCGTCGGAATCTAGTTTTCAATAATCGACTAGGGAGTGATTGGAAATAAGTTATTTTGATTTTGATTGAATTTGTTGGATAATCGGAGTTAATTTTGATAAGGTTAATTGAGTTAGGTTTGAGTGAATGTTGAGTTTGAGTTTGATGGATAGTTAAAATTATGTTAGTGGATGAATAGTGATGAAAGTTGATGTAATGTGTTAGAATAATTGTTTGATATTATTTCATTATATTGATAATGTTGAGTTTATATTAGATTTTAAATTAAAAAAATTTGTCTGGTCATATGACCATATAATTTTGTATCCAATCAGGGCCTTAGCGTTTCAAATACAAAATTACTTCAGTATTTGATAATCATTCAGTGTAATTAGAAAAAAAAATATATATATATATTTTCCATTTTTCGTGTTCTTTTTTCGAATTGCAAGTATACTCGCATGGTACTACAATAGATGTGTTCTTTATTGTTAGTTGCACCTCGAAGGTTTTGTTAGATTGGTGGTGATGTGGTTTGTTATCAATATTCTAATAGGTGCACTTGCTGGAGAAGAGCTTTGAGGCCGAGAACAAGCTGGAGCCCGAGCGCAAGATCCAGCTGGCTAAGAATCTGGGCTTGCAGCCGAGACAGGTAGCGGTTTGGTTCCAAAACCGTCGTGCCAGGTGGAAAACCAAGCAGCTCGAGAGAGACTATGATGAGCTTAAGGCCTCCTTTGATTCTCTCCGTTCCAATTACGAATCCATTGTAAAGGAAAACGACAAGCTCAAAGCTGAGGTAGAAACTAAACGAACTTTTCCCATTTTTTTTTCGTGTGGTCTGATTATATTCGAAGGCGTCATTGTGAAATGATGATTAGTGCTTATTGAAAGGGGTTGCTAAATGAAAGGTACCATTAACATTGAAAAACAAGAGATGGAAGATGAGATTTGTTTGGATGTGGACTTTGTATGGTATTGTACAGAGGCACCTGGGCCGTCCGTTTGGAGAGGGATAGGGACTTGTTGGGCCCGGGCCAGCCCATAAGATTCGTTCTTAGCTATTAAAAGAACACAAAATGTGGTGTTGTCTAACCTCAGCATGTTTTGATGCTTTGCACTATTCAAATAAAAATAGCATCTGTCCTGAACTGAACCCCACTTGATTCAAGAAAGTTGATGAGACTTCAATTTCATGAGGAAGACTTTTTTTTTTTTTTTTTTTTGATAGATATGAACTTATACTTTCACTATGTTATAAAGAATAAGCATCTTTAAGTCTTTTGGATGGACATATATAGTTTTAACTTAATTTTAACCAATTTTATTACAGCTTCTTTCCTTGACTGAGAAATGCCAGCAGGCGAAAGGACCCGATTCCCAAGAACCGGACCCTCTGCCGGTGCCGAGCCTTCAGCTGACCGTGAAGCCGGAGGATCGCCTGAGTTCCGGCAGCGATGGCAGTGCCGTGGTGGATGATGATGGCCGGCAGCTTCTAGACAGTGGGGATTCATACTTTCCGGCAGGGGACTACTCGGACTGTATGGCGGCTGTGGCTAGCGGCGGGGAGGAGGATGGCGGCAAGGATGGCCGGAGCTACTTTTCTGATGTGTTTGCGGAGGCTGAGCAGCCGGAGCAGATGGGGTGGTGCATATGGTCTTAAGTTATATACATATATATGTGGGAGTATTGTGGTAAAATAAGTTATTAGTTTGAGAAAGAAATAAATTATGTAACATTGTAATGTGAATCTTGAGTGTTTTTGTGATGTCTTGACTTGTGTTTGTAATAGATATGCATAATATGGGTTTTATAGTGTGGAAGTAATGAAAAATAATTAGGATCATTTAGGAATAAATGGAAAGTCCTATGTTGTGATGGTCAAACTTTTATATTCTTTCTGTGTTTTTATTTATTATAATTATAATCCATGATTAAGGGACGATTGTGTACCCAAAAAAAAAAAAAAAAAAAAAAAAAAACAATCTCATTGTACTTAATATTATCACATAATTAAATAATATTCATTGATTATTCTTATAAAATTAACTTTAATTCACTATTCACTGCTCATATGATTTAAATATTTACCACTTCAAATCATGTATCTTTTAATTTTATATCGAAATAACTTTAATTATTTTATTTTAATACAAACTTAAAATTCTACTAATGACTAGTTATATCAAACTTTTTTAGAATTAACTCTAATTAAAAAAAATCAAATATCAATATATTTGTAAAAAGCAAGCCCTAAAAGTCAAATATTTTGTAAGGAAGTTTATATTCAAACATATATATTTTTTTTAATAATACAAAGTTATTGAGATTGTATAGCTGTCTAACAACAGAGTCAACATTACAGGATTCATAGCATATATTATACACAAACTTTGGATATCATCAAATGATCAAATTGAGGCATCACATATTTCTTGCCATGTGTCAACTAGTGATGAGTTACACACACACGACATCAATATCAACATCAATGCACTCACATTAAAGAAATGCAAAAAAAAAAAAAAAAAAAAAAAATCATAATGATTCAATGCATTTAACTTACGGGAAACGTTACGGTTCCGTTACAGAACCATTTCGTCAGAGTTTGTAACTTTTAGATTAACTATTTTCGATGGTTACATAATGATTTAACGGTTACAAACTCCGACGAAATGGTTTCGTAAGGAGCTGTAGCATCTCCCTTAATTTACATCCACTACTTTTAATTATCAAATCTACTTACTTTTTTTTAATTATGAAAGAGTTGAAACATGAAAGGACGCCATTTTCAATCTCTCCCAAGATGCCACATTGCATAGATTTATATAAAATAATAAATTAATGACTGCCATCAGTAGTGAAATAATGTGCAATATTTTTACTTCAAATTAGTTGTCTGAGTTCATTGAATTCGACTGCAGACTTTGGAGGACACATAGGACAACCTCATTTTTCATACTGAATATGATTATCGCTATTGATTCAATTCACTGAATAAAACCTTTTTTCTCTGGAAGTGCATAATAAATATCGGTTTTGCTATGGAGCCATCGAATAGCTTGGCTTATGGACCATTGTCCATTGTTAATCACAATGATGTATTGACACGTGTCATACAATAAATGTACATTGGACATGTGTAAGTATATAAAGTTATGGATGACTCTATAAAGAGTCATCCGATGGCTCCATAGAATTTCTGTAATAAATATATAGAAATAAAAGAAGCACAAATTATAGCTTAACATATAAACGTTGACAATTATATTTTTAAATTGATTTATGTATTTTTTATACTTAAAATCATGCTTCATAATAAAATAATACAAATAAAAGTTTTATTTTTTTTTTTAAATTGGTACTATTTATTATCAAACCACTATGCAGCATAAATTGTATATTATGTTTTGTCAGCTTATTATGTTTAGTAAGAATGCTAACATAAATTCGACAAGTTGAAAATAAATATTTAGTGAGACGATTTTAAAGCTTTTGGAGGGCTCGTGAATTATTTTTGTGCTGAAATTGGGCTTATAAAATTAGGTGCAATTCCTATTATTATATGTACAAAACCAGTCCATATACTTAAAGTGGGACCCCTCACGTTGGGCCGGGCCGGCCCGACAAAAGGCATGTTAGCAAAATTGGTAATAAAATTAACAGATTGTAAAAATCCGCCATTTATTTATTCGGTAAAACAAAATTATTTGATTAGTTTTTTTAGCCGATAACTAGAATAATATGTTATCATAAAAGTTTTGAAATAGTCATCCAATTCACTTTTGCAGAACAACTATTTTTAAACCGCTAATATAATTTATTAGTAACATCAATTATTACTAGTACAATACTCGTGTACTACACGAGTATTGAGTTAAAAAATGTATTATAAAAGTTATTGTTATCATCTACATTAAAAACACTTAAAGAAAAGATAACAACAATTACTAATTTTTATTTTGCTCATTTATATATTTGACCGAGGAACTTACAGCTGCTAAGCCGGAGACGTTAATGCTGAATCCAGGAAAGTGAAATGCTGCATTGTCCGATAGAAATAATGTTATAGAAAAAAAGCATGAGTTTAAAAGTTATTTAAGTCTATACCAAGCTTAATTCCAAAGCAAAAAATTAATATATAGACAACATCAAATAACATTTCGAAGCATAGATTTTTGTCATATTAGCATTCGAATCGTGTGAACCTACCACTAGGGGTGAGCATCGGTACGATTCGGTCAAAAATCGCACCGCACCGAAAACCGAATCCTTAAAATTTCGTCACTGAACCGCACCGCAATAGAAGGACAAACCGAACCGAACGAACCGAAAGTTTTCGATCGGTTCAGTGCAGCTTTTCGGTAACCGAAATTAAAAAAAAAATAAATAACTACCAATTAATGTAATGTTAGTAAAAGTGTAAAAATTAAGTTGATATTTTATTAAAAAAAGTGACATTTTATGATATTCAGTGTGATGCGACACCAAAATATTGCGATTTTCCAAAACCCAAACCGCACCGATAACCGAACTCTTCAAAAACCGCATCGAATTGCTCGCTTCGGTACGGTTTTTCGGTTTCAGCTCGGTTTTGCTCACCCCACTACCATAGTTCAACATGTTTAAACTAATATATAGGGAGGGATAATTCGCTACAAGATATACACTAAATAAAATTAGTTATCCTCTGCTATAGATAGAGTTAAATGTCAAAACAAGACCAAGAGCAACGTACGACCATGTGCAAAAATTCTATGGCACCAGATGTGGCACTATATTATGGTGCCACATGTGGTGCCATAGAATTTCTGCGACCATTTGAGCTAACTTATAATGAATTGAATGCATAAGGATTATTGGACATATTATCCTTTAGATAATGTAATAAAAGCTACAAAACATGGTGCCACATCAATTCAAAATGTGGTCTGCTGTGTTTACTTGCAGTTGATGGGTCAGAATTGAGAATTCACAACCCTTCTAACTTTTATTATTTCACTGTTCCAGTGCATTTAAAGTATCATAAAAAATATTGTGTATGTCGATCTAACGGTTAGATAGATCGAGACCATACTTTTAGTACAAGAATTTATACTTGCACTAAAAAAATATTACAGTTTATATATAGGTTGTTCGTTAAAATTATATCATTCGTGTATTAAAGCAAACATATTTATTAAAAAAAAAAACGATTGTGTTTGACACGATGAAATAGCGGATATGTGATGCTTAATTGCTGGCTAAACTGTATGATGGTGAATAGTTGATTGAATTATTAATTTTCACTAGCTGATTGGATTAAAGGATAATGCAAAGTGTATGATAAATAATTAGTTGTTTATGCAGATAAAAATAACTAATTTTGACAAATTTCTATTCCAAAAATGTATTGTATTGACCTTTTTAGAAATTATTTTTATTATTCATCCCATAATTTATTTTAAACCTTTTCGCCAAACATTTAAATTGGATGTTATGATGGGCTAAATCTAAGGGGGTGATTGTTTATAGATTGGAATAGTTTTTATTTGGTTTATTTTTTAATTATAGTTAATTTTGTAAAAAGGTGATATAGTTAGTTGTTAGTGGATATAATAAAATAATATTTAAATAAAATAATTAAAGTTGATTTGATGTAAAGTAGAAAAAAAAAATAATTGGTAGTGATAGTTAGTTAGAATTATGTGAGTGGATTAATAGTGAATTAAAGTTGATATGATGTGTAAGAATTATTAGTTGATATTTAATTATATTGATAATATTAAAAATAGTAGAGTTGAGTTAAAGAAGAGTCAAAGTTGAGTTAAAGATAGTGGAGGGAATTTCAGCTAGTTGGTGCTACTTAGTTTGTTTTTTTTTTTCTCTCTTTTTTTTCGGTGTGTTTTGAGGCTAGGTTCTTATGTTCAGTGGTCTCTTTTGTTTTGTTTGTTTGGATTCTCGATTAGTGTGGTTGCTCTAAAGGTCCCGAATCTCTGTATTTGCCTTTAGTTGCGTGTTGTCTTAGTTTGCCTAGGCCACCGTTGGAGTTGTGCTTCGGTTGTTGTCTTTGTGTTTGTAGTGTCGAGCTAGTGAGCTCTGCAATTTGTTGTACTGTTTTTCTATTGGTTATGAGATTCCCTATCGTCCGAAAAAAAAAAAAAAAAAAAAAAAAAAAAAAAATATTACGGCCCATGAAAGAAGGGGCAGTGGCATACTTGACATTCTGCCCAAGATCCAGGGACATATCCGTAAACTCAAGATTTTGCCCTCGGTGGTCACGGTAAAATCCTTTTTATTTACCCGCCCATCGCCGACCTAAATTCGAGCAGCAAAACACGCCGTCACTTTTCTTTTCACCACAAGCGGGGTTACATTTTTCCCCCATTTTTTTTCTGCTGTGAATGAATATACGAGTATTATATAAATACCTCTGCCTCTGCTCAAACCTCACGCATTTTGCCCTTGTTTTCACACACAGGTGCGTGCAATAAATACTCTCACTCTTATCCCGTGGCTGCTCCGTCGATTGCTCCGGCTGATTTGATTTCCCGTGGTAATTTCTTTTTCCTTTAACTGTTCACTGAATTTTTTGAAGTTTTGCTTGAAATTTTATGCTGTTGGCTGTGAATCTGCGTACTGTGATCGATCGATCGATAGTTCTGTAGTTGTAGTTGGAATTTGTGGCGGTTGTGATCTTGTGGTGCTGGTGATTCGATTTTTGAGTTGGCTGATGTCTGAGCATTTTCAGAACCTTGTTTTTGTTAAATGTGCCTTGCTGTTAAGTCTCAGTTGGATCGATGTTTGTTTTTTCTGCAAATGGAGTTTTTAGTGTGTCGATTTTAGTCAGTTGCTTGGTTTATCTGCATTTTTTGTGTTGGCTTTTCCTTTTGAAGTGATTCGTAATCTCTAGTGATCTGCTTAGATTTGCTTTGGTAAGTTTTGCTGCAATGGAGTTGGATTTGGACTTCTGAATGTCAGTTGCTTGGTTAATCTACGTTTCTTTCATTTTTTTTTAGTTTTTGAAGTGATTCTTAATCAGTTAGTGTTTTGCTTAGATTTGTTTTGGTAGTTTTTTTTTTTTTTTTTTTTTTNNNNTTTTTTTTTTTTTTTTTTTGGCTGCAATGGAGTTAGATTTTACCTTCTGATGTAGTTACTTCTGCTATGTGGCGGTTAATTCTATGTCATTGTGAATTTATGCAAGTAAACATGCTCACCAGTGAGTGTTTTTGCTAGATCTGGTGCAGTTTCTATTTAAGTTGATATGTTGTTAACCAGTATCAAATAAGAAGCTGGGATTTGAGGTTTATTTTTCTTTTGCCCTGTGATAAATCATAAAGCCCTTTTCTGCATCATGTATGTGACTTAATTTTTCTAGGTATATATATCTGTATTTGGCATTTATAAAATAGTTATGTGCCTATTGTTTTTGGATTCAGGTAAATTCCATAATGTCTGAGGTAGCTGTCAGCGATGTCGTTATTATACCTGAGCCTGAGATGCCAAATGGAAGCTCCATCAATGGAAACTCGACAAAGCCTATCCTACAACCACCGGATGAGAATATTGATGAAAAACAAAAGAAACTGATTGCCCCCGAAACAGAAAATTCTAGAGGAGAGGCTCCCACTTTAGAAGTAGAGTACATTGAATCTGAAAATCTGAAGGATGTGGAAGATGTAGAGAATTGTGTGAAGGTGGGAATACTTCATGACTAGTTCTTTAATGTTTTTCCGATTATTCTTGGTGAAGCTTGATGCTGGTCCTGGTAGTGACCATATCATTATGATAATCGTAAATGTATAATTTGGTTATAACTACTCATTCATTCTTGTTTACAGACACTTGCATTCGAACTAGGCTCGAAAGACTGGGTTGAGGTTTGTGAGGCGCTCAACAATGTCCGCAGATTGTCTATATATCACAAGGAATCCATTGTTGCCATACTGTAGGTTTCGCGTTTCATTTGGTCTGTTTTCGTAAAAAAGTTGAGGTTCTTTTTTCTTTGGCTGCATTTGGTGAATTTTTCTATCATTTGATGAACAGCGGCGATGTGATTGCCTTAGTGCTGAAATCCTTAAAGAACCCCAGAAGCGCTCTCTGTAAAACAGCAATTATGACTTGTGCTGACATCTTCAAAGCATATAATGATGACATCATTGAGTTTCTGGATCCACTGGTAATATTTCTGTATTTGATTCGATATTAGCTACTTTACGGATTTCCGTATTCAGAAATAGTTGTCACTGTTACTCTCTATGGTTCAACTTATGTTGTTATTCCTTGTGTAGCTTGTACAGCTTCTGCTTAAAGCTTCCCAAGACAAGAAGTTTGTGTGTGAAGCCGCTGAAAGTGCTTTAAAATCTCTGACGAGCTCAGTTTCTCCACTTCTATTGCTGCCCAAATTGCAACCTTATATCAAGAACAGGAATCCTCGAATTCGGGCAAAGGCATCCGTGTGCATTTCGCGAAGTGTGCAAGAACTGGTAAGCTTTCTTCTATTTTGGTGGCTCTTCAACCAGGCCCATTTTGAATTTTAATTTAATTGGTCAGATCAACGTGTCTTCTAGAGTTTGTTGTCTCCTGTTTAGGTGAAATACTTTCGACACAAGGGTTTAAATTCTCTCTAAATCCTTTTTCTTCACTAAAAGATTCCCAATTAACTGAGAATTGAATTTATTGCAGGGCAGTGAAGGAATTGGTGAATTCGGCCTCGACAAACTGATCCAAATAGGTGCATCCCAGCTTAGCGACCAGCTTCCGGAATCTAGGGATGCTGCTCGTTCGCTTTTATTGGAGTTGCAATGCGTATATGAAGTATCACACGTTCATGACCCAAATGTTGTTTCTGAAGAGCCTGCTATAGCTTCATGGGAGCAATTTTGCCAATCAAAGCTTTCCCCTTTGAGTGCTCAGGCTGTGCTTCGTGTGACCAGTGTTGCTCGGGAGGGGCTCGTGGGCTCATAGCACACGAGCTGTAGCAAGTGATATTCTATTTTTCAGTTGTGTATACAATATATCATGCATGGTTATTGAAACTTTGATGTGTTTGGTGAGGCAATTGATGCGGATAGTATAGCTGCTGTTGATCCTATGGCACATTGGATAATTGATCGTCTATTAGCGACAAAATCAAATATACAGTACCCTACTTGTTATGAATTTGTTTCTTTTTTTTTTTCGTTTAAAGATTACGGTATTGTTTCTTTTCAGCCTTTGCCCTCAAGCCTTAGTGTAGTATTATCTCTGTTTCCTGACATATTTGTGCATTATCTTAGCTGAAACTGAAATGATTTCACGTATTCAACTAATAATGTACTTTCTACACATTGAAAATCTAAAACAAGTAAGATTGAAATAAATCAAACACTAGTTAATAGTTGATTATACAAACTAATATGTAATTTTATATCATGCAAAAACCTATACTATACGTCACCCCGAATCGATGGATCTAACGTAACCTATCTAAACATCCTCGAAGAAATCCGGCTCGTTCGGCTTGAACAGCTTCGTCATCTTCAAGCTCGACGACGAAGCATCCGCCATGTTATGTGCCCTCTCGGCCGCCCCTCCCTTCACATTTGCCGCGAACTTCGAAGCCAACACTGTGGCCCCAAAATCCTGAACCCGACCGCCAAACGACCCTTCCGCCACCTTATCATCATCATCTTCATATCTTCCCGACTCGTACAAAGCCAGCTCCTTAGCCAACCTCCGTTTTTTAAACCTCCGCCACGCGGCCTGCACGAAGCATGCGGCCCACGTTCGCCATTGGTGCGAATAGTATCGAAAGGCGTGCTGGAGGCGCATGCTGTGTAGCCGCTTGAATTGGGCGGCCACGAACCGGAGGTCCTCGGATTGTAAAGCAAAGGCCTCGACCTCGGTTAGCGTGCGAACGGTTCGCGTGGAGGACGGGAGGTTGAGAGGGGAGTTCGGGACGAGGGCCCACGTGAGAAGCTCCTCTCCGCAAAAATCGCCCGGGCGGAGAGTGATGGAGTTGAAGAAACCCGAGCGGCCGCCGTTGGTGGTGGAGCTCTCCATCGTGCCACGGATGATGAAGAGCATCTCATTTACTGGGTCGCCCTCGCGGACAATGTAGCTTCCAGGGGTGCTCAGGGAGGAGGAGAGGCGGCCACATATCGCATCGAGGAGTTGATCGTCCATCTGGGCGAAAAACGGGACCTAGTCGAAAATAAATATATAATCAATTAAATGAATAAATAAATATGATCGGTCGAGAGGATGCAGGGTTTTGGTCTCGGAGATTACTAACTTTTGGTCTCACTATATTCAAAGAACATAAATTCTTGTATCAGGCAGACGAACACTGTTGAATAATAGTTTTTAAGCAAAAAGGTTTACCTTTTGTGTGTATTGCTCTATAAAGTATGTTAAGTGTGTGTTAAAAGTATGCATTCTTGTTAAAAAGACAGTATTAGCAACATACTTTTTACGAGACGCAAATTCTAGTGTGAGACAGACTAACGGTTTGACAGATCGATCAGTAATAGTTTTTAAGCGAAAATGAATACTTTTATGTATATTTTTGTATAAAGTAGGTTACATAATTTTTGTCTAATAGTTAGTTTCGTTAGCTGTAGCAAATTTAAGAGTATGCTTGTGATTTCGAAAGAGCAACAGAAGTACAAAACCCTTCGAAAAACTAGGCTAAACTTTTTGCAGCTAGAATAAGAAAGACTTACTCGTCGAACAAGGTTGAGACACAAATGCCTTTGGATTTCCCGGCGAAGGTCGGGTGGCAAAGACTGTAGGATTGAGTCCTCGTTCACTCCTCGTGTGGTGAGCCATTTGTACTGCTCGAATCTCCGTACGCGTTCCTGCAAATCGGGAGGCAATTGACGACGCCTCATCCATTCTTCCATGTCCCGTCTCTTAACTCGCCACTCTTCGAGTCTCACGGTCATCGATTGCAAATATGTCTTCAATATCCCATAGATCAAGAAAACAAAGAACAATAACAAAATGCTAACATGAGCAAAAAAAGGGATGAAAAAAGATATGATATTCATATTCCATCTTTATTGGGTGAAGATCATATCAAAACCAAATGAAGCTTAAAAATGGATGTATATATTAATTTCTACCTGCATATTGCCGATAAGCTGCGAAAATAGAATCAAACCGAATATACACAAGATAATGCAGAACGACGTCTCGCCTATGTACGTGCTCGTCGTCAGATTCTGACCATATGAACTGCAAACAAGGTTAGAACTCAAAAGCTACAGCAAACACAAGATTTCTAACCTTTTTTTTTATTGTTTTTTATTTATCAAACAAACAGAGGAACAAAGGAAAGATAAAGAAGAAGAAAACCCAATTATTTCCACACCTCAAATTTCTTAAGCCCCACCATAGGCAGTAAAGATACTTCTCGAAAAAACGAGACGAAGCAACTTCGCTAGTAAAAGCATCGGCAAACATCCCGAATTTAAAATCTGAATCGTCATATCTCGCGTCACACCGGGAGAGCACGCTCGTCATATTCAACCAATACTGACGTTCGAGACTCCCAGCTTCCGGGCTCGAGCAGTCGAGGAATTTCAAGTTGCACGGCGGTATTTTTTCGAGCTCATCAATACAACCTTCTTGCCAGCAAGAATACTGCCTTCCTATGGATGCTAAATACCACGAAGCTCCTAAGACCTACATAAAAAATGAGTAAGAAAAAGAAAACCATAAAAAAAACGAAACTAAATTCATATCAAGAAAATGACTCACATGGCTAGCCAGCATGTAAAGAAGAAGGTTATATGCAGCTCCAGCCCAGGCAGTTTTAGCGATAAAGCCCGTTGTTTTTATAATCCGCTGATTTAAAGGGAAAATTACGAATAATCTCGGAATATATTGGAGGAGGACTATAAGAGCTAGCGTGTTGTTTGATTGGCCGGTGCTGTTTGTTTTAGTTGCTGGAATTACATACCAAATGACAATCTGCACAGGACAAAAAAATAAATTAACCCAGAAAATTCCAAATATTGTAGCAAAATACGAAACAATCGGACACGAACATTAACCGAGATGAAAGAAAACACGACTAAAAATTGTTAGAATTCTGTATACCAACCTCATCTACACACCTTGAATTCATTGCATTTAAGTATTTAACCAACATAAAAAGTTTCCAAAAAATGCCAACAAACACTTCTATTGATCAACTACTGATAATTTAATCTCTTTTCATAAAAGACCAAACCAAGCACCAAATAACAAAAAATACTGTAAGAGCGAGTGTGTTTGTTTTCGGTGCTGGAATTACATAACCAAATGACAATCTGCACGGGGAAACAGAGTAAAATAACTCAGAATTTCAAATATTTGTAGCAACACGAAACACTCGGACACGATCTTTCTCTGTCCACCGTAACAACTACTCAATTTCATTAACCGAGACGAATCAAAACAACTACAATTGTTCGAATTCTGAATAGCAACCTCATCTACACATTGCACTCATTGCAGTTAACCAATATGAAAACATGAAATCTTGTGTAAGGTAGCCTAACCATTAGACTGATCGACTCGTCCAATTTGAACAAAAATGCATACTTATACTATCGAATGTCATACTTTTGGTGTTTCAGATAAAAATATTCATATTAGTGAAAAAAAAAAAGAAGAAAAAAATTATGTCTGCCTGATGGTGAGACCAGTCTGACACAACGCAAGACAATCAATATGAAAAATACCAAAAATGCCAAAAGAACTTCTATAGATCAAATATTGATAATTCAATCTCCTTCCACAAAAACAATCAACCAAAAAAATAAAAGAAGGAAAACTTGATCGAGATATGGATCAAGTCGAATCTCTACCTGAGGCAGGGGTAGCGTGGCCGTTAGATCGATCACGAAATCCGACCGTAAATACCTCCTCCGGATCTCGACCGGGTCCATAACTAACTCCCCTCGTCCAAAAACCCTAGAGCTCGGGGCCACGAACGCCATTCGGAACTTCATGAGCATGTGAAGGAGGTAGAAAAAGTCAAACACGGTTCGGAAATACGTAATGAGAACCGAGGCGTGATTGTCGACAGACATACACGTGGCGCCATCGACAACGTAAGGAAGGTAGAAGTAAAGGGGATCGATCGAGAGCGAAACGAGACACGTGATGAGGAAAATGTGGTTCCAATGGTTGACAATGTCACTATTTGGGTCGAGGATTTGGTAGTGCCATAGAATGCTAAGGGCGTTGAGTTCGCCGGCGTCGGCATCGGTAGCCGGACGGTGGTGGGTGAGGGTTCGCCGGAGGTGGCGGAGATGGGAAATGGGCCGGGAGAATATTCTATCCATCGTCCATGGCCCGAATTTTGTTCTTCGAATCGCCTCGATTGATGCTTTTTTTTTCCTTTTGGTTCTTGGAAATAGCTAAGTTTAGGTTGTTTTTTTAGTTTTCTGATCATTTGCAATGTTTGGCGGGTAGTCTAAAGGGTAGTTTGGGGAATTTTTTAATGTTGGCCGTTGGTAGTTTGAGGAAACGCGGGAAATACGGGAATATTTTTTGTGTACACTAATTTAATCATTGAAACAAAACAAAAAAATAAATAAAAGAGAAAGGAAAGGGCCCATTTGGAGCAAATTTTATTTGGGCAATTTGCTAGCAGAAAAGGCCGGCCTTTTTTTTAGCCCAGTTAGAATATATTATAAAATCATTTGAGAAAAAAAAAAAAATCATCTGCATTTTTTTTTCATGTACTTTTTACAATTTTATTTTATTTTATTTTGGGGTAATTGTATATATTGTAACTTGTACCATTTATGCATGATTGATTGTGATTTATTTTGTCATTCAATTTTAAATTGTATGATTTTTTTTTTAGTTTTTGACCCGTTTATAATAATGTATTTGATTTTATATTGAATATTGAAATTTTATACACAAATAAATAAATAAAAATTGTTTAATGCACGTGTAGAAGGTGTAAAATAATTTACAGCTTG